CCTAGCGGCCGATTCTTCCTTCAAGAATGGCTTTCGTGCTTCACTATGACCGTTTGCTGTTACAACCTATCTTCAACAACCCGTGTATTTTGACAGTTGATGGACTTCCCTTCCCTGTGATCGCCATGGGAACTTTTGGTCACAGTTGGATGTCCTGTGGTGTGACCACTCTCATCCATTTGTGGGATGAGACCAACTATTCATGGAAAAATGAGAATGTTTTGCAGCATACGAATTAGATCATGGAGGTAGAATCTGCGTAATGTGATAGATGCAATTCCCAACACTTGAACACAAATCATCAGTGAACAACAATATCAGCCTAGCTCATGGTTTCGTGTAGTACAACTGATCAAATAGACATTTTGTGGCATCTCAAAAGTCAGCTCACAAACACGGAATGAGAAATTACCAACTGGACTGTGAAAGATGGAAGTGATGGACTGGGGACCTCCTTTAATAGAGCATCTCCGAATCCGATATGTTCAGATCTCTCACGAATGACTGCGATCTGTATGTTGGAACAACATCGAGGCTTGAGTGTCGCATATCTTTCTTACAGAGTGAAAACTGCTTCGAAGGATTTGACCATGCACCCGAGACATTGGTACTAGATAGACCCTCGTACAAAGAAGACTCTCTCTCTCTCACACACACACACACACAACACACTGCTAAACTTGCTTACTTGTTGGTCCTACCAGAAGTGCATATGGATTGGGACATCATCACGAAATGGCGAACAATAGCTCTCACTATCCAACAACATAGATTAATAACTTTCTGGTGTTTGCCCCCTTCATTACGAGCGGCTAAGCATGCTGGCCTGCTTTGGCAGATTACACACAATGCAATCCCTACTAAAGCCTTTTTGTATCGTCAATGGACAAAGGGAGCGCCTTTTCACAAAGCATGTGGGTAATGCCATCTTGAGGAAGATCAATATCACATATGGATTTCATGCAAAAATTGGACCGCATGCTTTGTGCAAAGGCATTTTTGCATAAAATCCTGAGCATTTGAGAACAATTGAAAGCAGCTGCACCAATACCTTAGTAGCGGGGTGACATATGGTCAAATGACTCAATTTTTGGTCGGCACTGCTTTTTTTGTATCTTCCCAAATCTCGAGCCTATGTCTACAAAACGTAACTCTGTTATGACAACTGTGGTGTCAGAGGAATGACAAAGTATTGTCCCATGATGTTGCTTCACGTTCGAGTCAACAAGTGTTCTACAAGATTAAATGAAACCTTCGCCACATCATCTAGTACTTGGATTGGAGACATAAACTTGGTAAGTCTGGGAGCTTACAGTCAGGAGCCAAATCCACGAAGAGATTGGAGCAATTATCCAAAAAAAAAAAAAAAAAAAAAAAAAAAAAACGTCAGGAGTTAGATGGTTTCAGAAACATTGAGCAGTCTGCCCTTCCTTGGTGACAATAGATACCTGTACTGACGATTTTTATTGTGGGACTTTTTTTGCAAAAACTCAAAGTTCATAACAATTATTGCTTTATAGGAAACGTTTGTTTTGATCATTGAGCCAAATATTTTTTCCCATTTTAATATGATTTTATATTATTTGTTATTTTGAAGCATTTGGGTTGTTAGATACCCAATTGATAGCAACTCTTCACTTTGTGACAATTAGCCATCATATAGCAATTTTGTTAGATAGTATTGTGTTCTTAAACCACTCGTACTTGGCCCAACTATCGTTCGTGGAAAAAAAAATAGAGTAAAACATTTCTAGTGGGATGAATTTGGGCGCTGTCGAGCGGGAGGGCTCTCACCTTTTGCGAAAAAGGTAGGAGCCGATGCGCTCGACAGGGAAAAAGGCGGGAGCCGATGCGCTCGATAGGGAAGAAGGCGGGAGCCAATCCGCTCGACAGAGCTCCTGTAGTGGCCCGTACATTTCCTAAAATTTTGGCTTATTAACGGGCATGACTTTAGGAAGTACTGGTGGTTTAACTGCATATTTAGATTGTTGGAGGCATATGTATAGAGGCATTTTGTCTCCTCAAGACTGTTTGTTTATTTTCTTTTTACTCTTGTTTTCAGGCTTTTTACTACAGGGGAGGGGCTCTAGCTAACAAAGCAGGGTTGGACGGTCCGAGTCCCCTTTCATGATGAGTTACGCCTTGGGCACTAGGACCTAGTAAAATTAGTTCTTTCATTAAGAAAAAAAAATAAAACCTTTGCGCACGACTTAGACAGGGAACCGGGTGTTGTATGCAGGACAGTGGCCTTGTAGATTCGGCCCTTTGTTATTATAAATAAAAAAAAAAAGTCGCAAAAAAAAAAAAAAAAAAACTAGGCTGTTTTTTCGGGTGCCTGGGCACCCAACTTCTGCCCGGGTACACACCCGGGTGCCCGAGCGAGCGTGACCCCCAGGAAGGGTTTCGGGCAACCCCAGTGCCAAAAATAAAAAATCCGGGGAACAAATATGTTGTGTAAAATTGAAATAAAAACAACTTTTGGTTGACGGTCACATTATAATTCCTCACAGAATCGGGGATAAAAAATAAAATAACAGAATCACACAAAGGCACCCCCCTTTAGACCCTTTAGCCCCTTTAAAACCAATTCGCAGCCCTTAGGCTGCGGTATAGTGGGCTTCCGCGTCTGTGTCAAGGTGTCGCATTTTTGGCGGCGGGTGACCAAGACGCGAAGTGGGTTCTTAGGGGGCAAAAAAATTGGGGGGACCGGTCCTTGCCAAAATTGCGGACTACCTACAGTTAGCTCTGGTAGAACCGGGACTTTTGGAAAAACGAAGGACCGGTCCTCTGGTGGAAGTGGACCCCAAAAAGAAGTGGGGGGCATTGGACCGGTCCTTGGGTAGAAGCGGACCCCAAAAAGAAGTGAGGGCATGTGAACTGCAAAAGTGCCCTCAGGCCCAGGCGTTGAGCCCCGTCTTCTCAAAACAGGGAGGTCAGGCACAACGAAACAAGCGTTTTGCAAGAGGCAACTTTGGCGATTTTCTGTGCT